TCTCTCTCTCTCTCTCTCTCTCTCTCATTCTCTCTCTCTCACGCACACACACACACACACACACACACACAAGAGGACACACACACACACACACCCCAACCCCAGCCTGACCCTTTTTTTTTTCTTTATTTGTTTTCACTTTTTGCCTCTTATTTTTTTCTAAACACCCAATTTCCCGACACAAACCCAAAAAACATTTCTCAAAAAATACAGGACAACTCAGCGACCATGTGCCTCGTGATAAAAAATGAAAAAAAAAAAAAATTGCGTTTCTTTTTATTTATTTTTAATAATTTGTTTAAATCGCATTTTGTTTTTAATTTTAAAAAAAATCTTAAACGAAGTCGGATTCCAAAATAGAAAATATAGGATTGTAGGCTTTTCCAAGCCCTACAACCCTATATATATATATTTTTTATTTTACGTATTTTTAGGGGTATAAAAAAAATATAAAAAAAACAGGTCTTTGGCCGCGGCCACAGCGGACTTTTTTGGCCGCGGCGGCCGAATTGCCCGCGGCCTAGGCCGCAGGTGTCACATAGCCTAGCGCAGAAACACAGTCAATACAACGGTTGTCATATCCCACCAACAAAAAAACGCTTCACCTTAATCAGGGCTACCTTCATGCCCTCGCTGTTCCACCGTGTGAACAGCCTAAGGGCCTGAGCTGCCATGATGGGTTTCCCACCACGCACCCTTGGATCTTTATGGTATAGCAACCACAATGGGTACACCTCAAGTTTGCTCTTCACCGGCTCTCTCATACCATCTAATCAGTAGCGTTCCCACCGCCCCTCTATGTTACCGCGCGTTCATTGAACGCGCGTTCGCATTCAGTTTATGAACGCAGTGAACGCGCGTTCACTGAACGCCCCTGAATGCGATTGACGCATTCATGCAGGGGGCTGTAGGGGCTGGGGAGGTGCCTCTGAGGCCACGGGAGCGTCGGCGGTGTTTGGGGGAGCCTGTGGGGAGGTCGTCAGCTGAAAAAAAAAAAAAAAAAAAGCCCGCGTTTCGTCGTGGGGCGATATAAAGCGGGCGCAGCGTTCGCACGCGACACAGTCGTGCAGTGCGCGTCGAGCGTTCCCCACCTTCACT